TGTACACGTTCATGTAAATTTTATGCCGTATAGCACAAATTTTTAAGGACTGTACATTTTGTGGTTTTGTGGATTTTGCATTCTTTATTAATTTTGCAAAAAATCCACAGAATAGATTTTATAGGCAAATTCGGGAAATTTTCAGCCCTTGAATTAATATCATGATATTATTTTTTATGTCTTACAGTATTTAGATGATCTGGCTACTGTTGGTAAAGATGAATTTCATTTAACCACACCTTATAGGGAGGGGTAAGCCACACCCACTAGACCACACCCACCAGTCACTAATATTAAATTAATTAGGTACCTCGTCAAACGAGCTTTAGCAAGGAAAAAGATTTCGGTGAAAAATTTTAAGAAAAGGTAAGAAAAATACATTTAAATTTTGTTTATTTATTTATTTTTATTTTAAAGATATTTTGTTTTATCCGATGCTGGCCTCTCCTACAGTAAAGCAAGAGGTACATATATAATTATTAATTTATTATTATTATTGTTATTATTATTATTTATTATTATTATTATTATTTATTATTATTATTATTTATTTATTATTATTTATTAATAGGTGATCTTATTATTAATGTTATTCCACTGGAGGATATGCTGGCAGTTGAAAGAGTTGATGAAACAGCATTTAACATGAAATTTGTTAGTAACTAAACACAAGTAGCACATGTACATGTACTGTATGGTGTGAATAGCTTTATTTTGGCAGTTATTATTTTTGGTGATTGTATGGTGTGTTTAGATTCATGAATTTGTGGCCATGTACCATTATGTACATGTACATGTACATGTTTGGTTTAGAGTTGTTTTTTTGACAATAATTAATTATCATAATCTTTCCATTCCCTCAGATGCTACAGCTAATACAGCCTGAGAGAGTTCTGTACTTGCAAGCTAAGAACAGTGTGGACCAATTGGAATGGTAAGCCACGCCCTTTAATAACCACACCTACTATTGACCACACCCATCATTAGGTTATCGGCACTTGCTAAAGCCTGTTATGTTCATCACAGTGACACTATGGTATCATCAGTACACAGAGGGTCATTCACTTGCAGTCAATGGTCATGGTATGTAGCATTAATGATAATAATGGTATATACAGGCCTTAGACCTTGTACAGGGACTTTGGCCTGATTTTGGAGCAACTTTAAAAATTTGTAAAAAATCCAATTTTGATCTGAATCAGCTCAAACTTTTTACACAACATAAGAACATGTATATGCATCAGAAAATGTAATAAAAATTGAGAAAATTTCTACTTTTCATTTTTGGTGAAATTTGGCCAACGACCCTGTACTATAGTACAGGAACTTTGACCCGATTTTGGAGCAACTTTAAAAATTTGTAAAAAAATCCAATTTTAATCGGAATCAGCTCAAACTTTCTACGCAACATAAGTACGTCTATATGCATTAGAAAATGTAATAGAAATTGAGAAATTTTTACTTTTAATTTTTGACAAAATT